AATGCGGCCAATTCGGACCTTGGATTTGGGTACAAATTCTAGGGTTTTGCCCTTCCGCAAACCTTGAACCATAACTAGTTTGAGAGTTGAAGTCTGAAATCCCGTTCCTGGATTTCTTTGTTATAATCTACGTATTTGTATTATTGAGATTTTATATTATTTCTCGAGAATTTATTTTAAATTGTTTGAATTTAGACTTTAACTAAACTAGTTACAAAGTTTGAAGTTTGAAAATTAATTGTTTAAAATCCGTAGACCTTTGGAGGTCACCATTTATATTTTTGAATAGATCTTGAAACCACGAGCGTATAGGCGAAAGCAGTTTACAAGTCTGAGTTATAACGGTATAGTTACGGACATTTGAAGTTGTCTTACTAAACTATAGATTTTAAATCGATTAAACTTCCACAAGGAAGAAGCCTTATCAGATTTAAGCAAAAATAAGAGGACCAATCAAATAAGGGGAGGGGGGAAGGTTTCTGAAAAAGAGAAAGGAAGAAAAAGGGGCTGCTGCTAATCCGTTTTAGGGGTGAAATGGACCCGTTAACCCACAAACTTGAACCGCTTGTATCTCCTTCATCCGAGCTCCGTTTTGGGTGATCTTGGTGTCCATGGAAAGCTCTTGATAAGCCCTACATCTTTGTAGTGTTATATTTCCCATTTTCTTTTCCATATTTTCAGTTCGAAGCCACAAAGCCCACGACTTTTTCAACGGTTTTATCATTTTTCGGGTGATTCCGGCAACCATTTCCTCCGAGTGAGGTATGAAACTTCATCTACTCTTCATAATCTTCAAGTTGGTATGCTTATTTTGTGCTTTCGTATTCATTTTAGAGTGAGGTGTTTAGAACCCTAGAAATCCGGCTTTCTTTGGTGAATTTGGACGGTTTCCGGTTATAATTTATCGTCGGCCTAGTTGTGAAAAGTGTTTCCTTTGTTGAGCTCTAGCTACCACGTAAATTTGAGCTCATTTAGTTAATGTTGAAAATTCAGGGTTTCTAAACCCTCCACCTTGACTACTACCGCGTGTGGCGGTGCGTGGGACCGTCCACGAGTGTTGTCTAGGTACCAAATACCTTCTAGTGACCCTGTGAACCTATGTCTAGCTCGGTTTCCCAAAATTCCATTGTTTGGTGTGGTGATCAAATTGGACCGCCACTTGTTTGGGTGATTGACGATAATCCGACCGTTTGCATTATAGAACATTATATTTAGTTAAGATTAGTATTAATGGAAGCCCTGTGATGCTTTACTGCTTATCTCGGTGAGTGACTTTAACATATGTGATATGGTTATTACCTTGAATTCTTATATTGGTATCATCTATGAATATGACTTGGTTATATATATATAGATACATATAGCCATAGACCTATGTTTATTAAACATGATTTGGCTTGTGTACTGATGATGATCGTGATATGTGATTTGACGCGCATATTGGATTTGTATGATTGGCTTGATTTGATGAAAGGTAAGGGCAGTGGTGGACCGTTAACCCATTGTCATGGGTTGCTTCGAAACATGTTTCACCCCTCGTTTCATTATTTCATTTCTTGTTTCGTTGAGCCTTTATAACTTGAGTAACTTGATTCATGTGTTGTTTCATTGATTGGTTGTTATGCATTGTGCTCCACGATTCCGTTGAGTGATGGTCCGGAATCCTTCCTATTCCACTCCGTGATTCCATTGAGTGATGGTCCGAAATCCTTCCTACTCCACTCCGCGATTTCGTTGAGTGATGGTCTGGAATCATATCCTGGTTTGGATTCCATTGAGTGATGGTCTGGAATCCCTTCTACTCCGCAATTCCGTTGAGTGATGGTCCGAAATTGTATCCTGGTTTAGATTTCGTTGAGTGATGGTCCGGAATCCCCTTTGGTGTCTTGGTTTTGTTGGGTGGTTCGAAATCCCCTTTTTCCAGAGATGTAGTTTTCGGTCGAATTACGTTCCTCTAACCCTAGTTTTTAATGTATATATGAACGATGGTTTTTTTGGGAATCTTGTGGTTTGAATTGGAAAAACCGTTGGATGTCTGAGTGACTTCTACAGAGTTTTCAGCGACTTGATTATGATTCCATAAAGTATAATTTTATACTTAATATTTATAGATTGTGATTGTTGGTTTGTTTTTATTGAATATCACGTACTTGTATTATTGTCACTCACCTAAGCCTCGGAGCTTATGTGAGTGCCTGATTTGCCAGTGTACCATTCTTATAATGTAGGCATTTATTTTACATGTGACAGGTCTAGGTAGATTATGAGAAACTACTTGATATTTTAGTTCGTTGAGTGGTCTGGAACCCGATGTTGTTGGATTTCGTTGAGTGGTTCGGAATCCTTGCTTTTGTTCATTTCCGTAAGGTTATCTTAGAATCCTAAATTCGAGTGAATGGGAATTACCCACAATAGATATTGTGAATATAAATTAGAATTACCATGTTTATTACTCATAATCCAAGTGGGGAATTATATAGAGTTCCTTGGTTAAATTCGTGAAATGTTTTGTTATCGCATTGTTTGATTAACGTAATCAAATGCTAAGATTGTGCATCTTTGATTCACAAATTGATTAATTGACGGGATTGTGGAATGACGTTGGATATGAGTGTTGTTATTATGATTATTTTAGTTGATTAATGTTTCTAGAGAATAATATTGTGCATTGTTAATTCTTTAATATGTTACAAGCTATGAATTATGATTTTATGTGGGAGACGTGATGATTTATGTGATGGATGAAGTGGAAATGTTATTCGTCATGCAGGATTCTTATGTTGGATATCATTGTTATTGTTATGATTAGACTTGTTGATAAATATGGCGAGAGAATATGATTGTGCTTCGTCGTTTGTTCTTTGAAATATTGCATGATATGCATTGTGGTATTTTATTGGGAGATAACGACTTATGTGATGAATGTTCAAGTGTAGTGAAGTAATGAGCTACGAATGGTTTGATCCTTATTTAGGGTACGTAGGCAGTCTAACGAGGATGTTAGATGCAGCCATAAAGTCTACAAAGAATTATTGCGCAGTTGGATCTTAAGTTATGTTTTGCCTTTTTCCGGAGGCGGGGTATGTTAGAGACGGGTATTTGGTGACGTCACATGTCGATCCTGGACGTATGTCGGAATCAGGGCGTGACATGAAGGCTCCATTTTTGGCAGAGAAAAAAGGAGGGAAATTTTTTTGAGTTTTGAACTGCTTTTTAGAGTGAAGGAGGAGATCGCAAGCTCAAGGTCCCAGCCATGGGCGTTGAGGATCTCCACGCACAAATCGGAGTCTTCGAGGTCTGTGATCGCTTGGAAATACACTAACTTGTTCACATTGACCATCTTTGCATGTAGATTAGGGTTTTCCCTAGGAGCTGTGGTGGAGGGGTGTTGGGTGGGGAAGACAAAGGGTTCTGGGTTTTTTTTATTTTAATACTTTTATTTAATTAAGTTTTTTAAATTTTTAAATTTTTTTTAATGACACATGGCGCCTAGTCATTGTTCACATGGGCACCACGTCATCAATTAATGAGAGACTCAACAGCTAGACTAACAGATGTATGAGACTGTCCCAAAATTAACACTTTAGGTATGACTCTGAGACGAAAAAAACTTTATGTACTAAATGTTGAAAACCACGAAACTTGAGGGTAGTAAACTGATATTTACCCTACTATTTATGAACATGCTTTTACACACTTCTTTGTAGTAAATATGATGGATGACTATATGCTATGAAGATGTTTTGAGATATATGCATCTATGTTTGGAAAGACTATGTTCAATGATATGGTGCATAATTAGTGGTAATTGTTCTGCCTACGAGCGAGAGATATAGTTGTTGGCTTCAAGCCGGGAGAAATAATCTCTGGCTTCGGGCCGAAAGACATAGTTGTTGGTTGCAGGCCGAAAGATATAATTATTGAACACCACGGGTGACTAGGATACCACTAGTTAGCACACTATATATGAGATATGTTTTATGAAGGTTTTATGGCATGCTAGGGTTTCAGAAACTTATTACATATTATGTTATTGAGTTTTCATAAAACTTTGGGGGTTAGTATGTTGATAACTGTTTTAGTATTATATATATATATATATATATATATCAACTTGGACCACTCATGTTTGTTTTGTGCCCCCTTAGGACATAGGAACGAGGCATACGATCCGACTTACGAGGCATTCCCCTACCAGTGACATCGTGCCATTCTTTCTACTTTGACATCATTGTAATAGCACATTCCGCTTGTATTCTGAATTAGATGTATGCTCTAAACATGTCATGCATCATCACTATGATTTCATTGTTGGCAGTTGAATATTATTTTATTATCTTAGTAGTATGTATTTAATTTTTACATTGCGTATTTATGTGCGAAATTTTATATGCATGTTTTACATGTTCTTAGCATATGCATTCATTAAATGGCTTGTGTCACCCTCGGGTATCGGCCAACACATGGCCATCCCGATGTCCCTCGAACATTAGGATCGGGGCGTGTCAATATGTGTTTTCAAAACAGGGGTTAGTATGTTCAGAAAGAAAATGGTTTTCTTATTATTAGTACTATTATTATAAACTTTGATCCACTCACTCTTTTGGTTTTGCGCCCCCTTCAGGAGTTAAAATCGGGACACATGATCCGGGCGTCAGGACACTTCCGATTAGGTATCTTTGAGTCTTCTCTGTGTAGGACCCATTACTCAGTTCGTACCTTTTCATAATAAATCTTTCACATTACTCTTGATTAGTTGTATACTCTGAACACGATTCTGCATTAGTATATTTATGTTTGAGCACATGTTTTTATTTGCTTGCATGTTAAAATGGCTTTGTCACCCTCAAGCAGCACGTGTCTCTCCTGATATTTAAGGATATCGGGATCGGGGCGTGTCACGTTTCTCTTACCTCGCCACCATTTTACTGATCTACAGAACTGAAGTCTATATCTCGCATAGCCAATTCTTGTCAAGCAAGAAACTGAAATTTCAAGCAATGTTGGACTCCCTTCCTCAGGAAATCACTCATGATATCCTATTTAGACTACCCACTAAATCTTTGATCCAATGCACCTCGGTGTGCAAGCCATGGAGATCCATGATCATAAACCAAAGTTTCATTCAGTACCACCTTAGGCGAACCATCAGTTTCAATAAACGGAATGACATTCACCTCCTCCTAGTCCACAGTGTTTCTGGTAATCGTACAACTTCTGTTAGAACCCACCGCCACACAACGGTCATGTCTGATATAAGTCAAGAGGTCTTTTCTGTGCATTATGATAACCAGGATTTTGACAAGAACTCCGAGATAGAATTTCCAAGTGCTCTCAAGGAAGAACTGCGGAATGATATTCTTCACGTTGTCGGTATTTGTAACGGTCTGGTATGCTTTGCAGAGGATATGCATTGTTATGGTAACAGCTTCATAATATGGAACCCATTTATTAGGAAGTCAGTAACCCTTCCCAACCCTGGTATTACTTTTCCCATGTATAACAGCATTCCCAATTATGGCGGATTTGCTGCGGCTATTGATTTCGGTTTTGATGATATGACAGCTGACTATAAGGTTGTTAGAGTTGCCACCCCTAGCAATGAACTTAGAGGTCCAACCATGGCTGAAGTTTATTCACTAGCCACTGGCTCGTGGAGGAGTCTTGGTTCCGTTGCTCCTCAATGTGCAATATATGGAAGAAAAAAACACCTTTTCTTTAATGGAGCTCTTCATTGGCCTGCTGTACGTAGGACAAGGGATGATCATTTTATATTGACATTTGATGTGTGCAGTGAGTTATTTCGCAAGATATCGATGCCAAAGAGTGTCATCTGGAGGTCCCCATTGGGATTGTTGTTGTCTGTTTCAGGAGACAGAAAATCTATAGCTCTATTCGTGATGGATGACACTTCTAAAGAATATCTTGATATATGGGTGATGAAAGAGTATGGCGTGAGGGAGTCCTGGACTAAATTGATTAGTCTCGGTCCACAAGATCCGGAAAAACTTTTACCTCGAGCGTTATGTTTTAGAAAGAATGGTGAAGTATTAGTAATGCTTCTTGATGGAGGCATGTACCTTAACTTCGGAACCGCAATAACAAAGGGTGTATTTGTTTCCCTAGACCTTGTGAGCAAACAGTTGAAAAACCTTGAGGTTTGTGGACCATATTGCTCTGTTGATTCCTTCGAAGAGAGCCACCTCTTGCTGGACAAGACCGATGCGGTTTCTCACTAAAAAAATAAATTTGTAAGGACTTTTTGTGAGATGTTTGAGCTGCCTGAAGTGTGCTGGTGTATTTTTAATTTTGGCATGGAACATTTTATCTGAAGCTCGGGTAGTTTTTCTTGAGTACTTCTATTATTGTTGTAAGCTTGAGCTTTTTGAAAACTAATAAAAACTGAAACTTTGGAAGAATCTCGTTACAATTTCAATTCGTGTTGCAGCTTCAAACTATGTACCCGTTATCTGTGGTAGTATCTATGAAATGCTTTTGCAAACTACAAGAACCAAATACAGTACAATTTAAAACTTGTCTCAGCTAAGAATTAGGGCAAACTTTATAAAAACTTTTTTGGGACTAAAAAACGTGTTTTGGCTAAGAAAAAAATTACAAATTATAGAGTTAGTTCATCGGACTACGTCATCCTTCAAATTGGAATAACTCCTCACTTTGATCCATGAAATTTAAAATTGATAGAATTGGTCCGTGAGTTTGTCTACAAAAATACTTTTTTTTTTTTTATGTCAAATTAGTTTGGCCTATTGTTTATTAAATTGAGTTTTTTTTTTTTTTGTTATTTTGGTCCTTATTAAATAGAATTTTTCACAGAGTGACCAAAGTGATTGATAATAGATAAACTTAGGGACCACTTCTATCTATTTTAAATATCACGAAAGTGAAGAGTTATGCAAATCTCAATAATTATTTTGGCTTGAAAGTCCACACAAAACTAAGGCTCCATATGGCCATTTACGGCCGGTCAGACACTTTTGAAAAGAAATAAAGAAATTGTATCCTCTTTTGTATTTTATGAAGGTGATTCGGAAGAAATTGATGGGTTAGAAAAAGGACAAAAATACAAAGACGGATGTTCTTATGTTGCTCATCTCTTGCGTTGACAAAATATGCTTTGTGCTAGCTAATGCACCTCAAAGAATCACAGAGAAGGCACCGCGGAAGAAGAAGATCAAAGTTGGAAAGAAGTTTCCAAAGTATGTCTCACTGAAGGTAAATATAGCATGAGATCATGTCATCATTTCGATCTTTGAAACAGTTTTTTGTATATATTTGCTGTGAAATTTGACTAATACAGACCACATATAGATTCCAATTTCCATAGTTCAATCCATTCATTTGAATCTAAACAATACACTTTACCCCCTCACTAAAATCCTGTCATTGTGGGGTAAAGTTCCATTGAACTTTAAAGTACTTCATCCAATGACTCCAAACACACAAATATGGTACATTTGGATGAAGGACTTTAAAGTTTCATGGGACTTTGGCTAAATTAATTAGGAATGCAGGGACTTGAATACGACTCGATGCTCTAAATTTAAAAGAACTTTCAAATTACACCGTTCTTTATTCTAGTAATTAGCAGCATGGTTGCATTACATCTAGTCATTTTGAAAGAACTTTCGAGTTCCATGGCGTTATGATTAGTAAATTTGTATTGCATTTGTAGTGTTTAGTTAGCTTTGTAGTGCATGAGTAATTAATTGGTAGTGTTCTTATAGTAATTTAGTAATAGCTTTGTATTTCTACTCACGCCTTTGTCTTACTTCACCACCATTTACTGATCCATAGAACTGAAGTCTATCTCTCACTGCCGATTCTTGTCAAGCAAGGAAACTGAAATTTGAAGCAATGTTCGACTCCCTTCCTCAGGAAATCACTCATGATATCCTATTTAGACTACCCATTAAATCTTTGATCCAATGCACCTCGGTGTGCAAGCCATGGAGATCCATGATCATAAACCAAAGCTTCATTCAGTCCCACCTTAGGCGAAAAATCAGTTTCCATAAACGGAATGACATTCACCTCTTCCTAGTCCACAGTGTTTCTGGTCATCTTATAACTTCTGTTAGAACCCACCGCCACAGAACGGTTGTGTCCAAAATAAGACAAGAGGTCTTTTCTGTGCATTATGATAACCAGGATTTTGACAAGAACTTCGAGATAGAATTTCCAAGTGCTCTCAAGAAAAAACTGAAGAATGAAATTCTTCGCGTTATTGGTATTTGTAACGGCCTGGTTTGCTTTGCAGATGATATGGCATGTTATGGTAACAGCTTCATAATATGGAACCCATTTATTAGGAAGTCAGTAACCCTTCCCAACCCTGGTATTACTTTTCCCATGTATAACAGCATTCCCAATTATGGCGGGTTTGATGCTGCTATTGGATTCGGTTATGATGCGATGACATCTGACTATAAGGTTGTTAGAGTTGCCACCCCTAAAAATAAACTTCAAGGTCCAACCATGGCTGAAGTTTATTCACTAGCCACTGGCTCGTGGCGGAGTCTTGGTTCGGTTGCTCCTCAATGTGCAATATATGGAAGAGAAAAACAACTTTTTTTCAATGGGGCTCTTCATTGGCCTGCAGTAAGTAGGGAAAGGGATGATCATTTCATATTGACTTTTGACCTAGGCAATGAGTTATTTTACAAGATGTCGATGCCATCGAGTGTCATATGGAGTTACATATTGGGATTGTTGTTGTCTGTTTCGGGTGACAAAAAATTTGTAACTCTATTTGTGATGAACGCCGATTCTAAAGATTCTTATCTTGAAATATGGGTGATGAAGGAGTATGGCGTGAAGGAGTCATGGACCAAATTGATTAATCTCGGTCCACAGGGTCCCGAAAGACTTTTTCCTCGGGCATTATGTTTTAGAAGGAACGGTGAAGTATTAGTAATGCTTCTTAAAGGAGGCAGGCAACTTGGGTTCGAGACCAATATATCAAAGCATGAACTTGTTTCCCTGGACCTTGTCAGCAAACAAATGGAAAGTCTTGAGATTTGTGGACCATATTGCTCTGTTGATTCTTATGAAGAGAGCCTTCTCTTACTGGACAAGACCGATGCAGTTTCTCTTTAAGAAAAGAAACAGATTTTGTAACAAGTTTTCGTGAGATGTCTGAGGCGCCTAATGTGCTGATGCTGCAGCTTCAAACTATGTACATGTTGTTGAACTATCTATCAAAAGCTTTATAATTTTATTTTTTATTATCAATGTATTTACATCAACTTAATATCAGTTGTTAATCTTGGTATAAATTTCAATTGGCGTTGCAGATTATGTACCAGTATGTGTTAAGTATCTATGAAATGTATTCGCACTCGAGTTTGAATTCCCCTCCTCATAATTTAGAATAGAATAACGCTCGTTTAAAAAGTTTCGTTTATCACGTGACTCGAAAGGAATTGCTGGGTTTGAATAACTAATAAAATACACAAAGATACAAGATCAAAAACTTTTGGCCCAAGACAAGTTCGATATATAATAATTCTATACAATAAACAAGTCCTTAGGCATTTCATCCTCCAACCATCTCTTTGTTTCTCTGTATTTTTCTCTCTGCTCTTCTTGTTTACATGTCACTATGAAATGAAGAAACGCGCAACCGAGTTTCCCTCTTTTTTTCATCTGTTTCTCTGTGAGGCTTCGGTCTGAATCTAATGGGCAGTGAAGATAGGTGGCAAGGCATTGCTCTAGCTCCAGTAAATACAGACAGAGAAGAGGAGAAATGGAGGAGCTTCAACAACTCAGTGAATGCAGTTTCTTTAGGTTTTGTAGCAACTGCTATTCTCATCTCAATGTTTCTTGTGATGGCTATTTTTGAGAGATTTTTCAAACCCAGATCATCACAGCTGTCCACTTCAGCTCGCAGTACTACAACTACTACTCATTTGGATCTTCAGCCACAGATTACCTACAATGATTCCAAGCTTGATCACCACCACTCTCACAAAGTAAGCTTTTCTTTCCCTTCAATTGTTATTACTGCACAGATGTGAGTTAGACCAGTTGGATAGGGCTATTTTTCCGGTTCTTTCCTATATCTAGAGTATTTAAAATAATATTTTCTCTTCTTTCTCTTTGTTTACTTTCCTGTGGGGTGCACCATACACGTATAGCTAAGAGTGTGAAATTTGATGAGATTGTGTCAAAATTGGAAAACTCATGTTTTTCTTTGGATACTGATTTTCACATTTACGTTTTCTCCTTCTGCAATCATTCTCTTGTGTTTACCGGTAAATTCTTCTTTAATTAATTAAATTCAAGAGCTAGAAACGAAATGAAAGAATGCATGAGAGAAAAGAGAGCGAGGAAATCACTTTCGTTTTCTATTTAGCATTTCCGTTTGTTTCTTTGTGTGCATTATTAACATTTAGGCACTTTAGCTAATTGAAGAGTTGGTGGTTTAGTTTAAGGACAGGTCACAATGATTTAAGAAACTAAACATCAAAGATGACAGAGTGTTATTTGGAGTTTTCAGTTTCTATAGTGGCTGCATTATATGTAAGATTTCATAGGATCTGCATAATTATGCTTTACTTGATTAATGATTAATATCCAAAATCTTATGAATTAATTGTTAAATCACTAAAAATTGGTCATATTTTACTTCATTTTTCATTACAAGTGTTTGTAATGCTTTATCCACTCTTCTTATTCCTTTGGTTTTGTCTTTTTGACATGACACGTCATATGAAAAGAGAGATATAATACATCTTGTTGCACCTATATGTCTCTGTTTACGTGACAAGAAGAAAAGAAATAGGCACAATATGCACCCAGTTGCACCTAAGTTTTAGCCATGATTCACATCCTTTGCATTTTAATGCTCAAAATTGTAGGCAATAGAAGAGGGTGTTAACTAACTTAAGCCTTCCACAGTAGACCGGAAAAAAGTAGTGTGATACTAATATATTGAACTCGTATAAGAATTACACTTTTACATATGTCGGAAAATTTGAATGTGAAACTAATTTGTTGAACTCATTACTATAGTAGTAGTATTATAGAAATCAAATTTAGACTGCCTGATTTCTATATATAGGTCGCACTCACTCAAATTACTATGAAAGATCTTAATTACGTAAATAAAAGATATTTACTAGAATTCATCAGTTAGCAACAAGTACTTTTTTTTCCTTTTAAACTATTACCATTTACCCCAAATTTAAGCATTGGAATGGCAAACTTAATCACATGCTACAAGTACCAATGTTAGGAAATATTTTAATTTATCACACTTTCAAGTTACCATGTCAAATATAATGTTTATGCCTTCTATGATCTCGAAAACAACATGCATGCTTAATCTTTTTGTTAATCTATACATTTTACATATATAATCTTGAGTAAGTTATATCTTAATCACTTCTCGTAGACCACGTGTCCACACGACATTAAGCGATTTGGAAATTTAAAAAAAAAAAAAAATTGGATATTGTTTATGTATAACAGTTGAATTTGGTGTGTGAGAAAGGCTTGATTTGTGGAGAAGGTTACGCTATTCTGCTGACAGCTTAGTATTTTGGAAGATATATAATTGAAGGAATATTTTATTTATTTACTTTTTATTAACCTGCTCGTGAAGGGATGATTATAATATCAGGATTTATGTTCTAATCTTGGATTAAAAAGCTTGTTTTTATAATAATTTTGATTAAATTATCAACAGCATGCTGCATTTGAATCTTTAAAGTTAATAGCCACCAACCACGCCAGAAAAGCATCTTCCTCATCAGAACCCTCTTTTGGTTTTAGCGATTAATTTGGACATTTCTTCTAATTCAAAGTTTCCGATACCACGTGTCATAAAATAAATGAAGAGACACGAACTTATATTATAATATGTGAAGTACCACTAGAATATCCGGTACTTGAAAATATTAGCCTTATCATTTTGCTTGCTACAATGTGATATAGAAAATTAATTTTGCTCACTTGGGTTGCTGCCATGGTAGCTTCCAAAAGGACCAAAACCAACACATACTCCAATTTATATGTTTTGTATCAAATTTGTGCAGATGAGAATTTATGCCAGAGAAGTATCTGTGATGATGCCTGGGGAAGATATGCCTACCTTCATTGCACATCCTGCTCCTGCACCGTGTCCACCGGAGCACATCGCTTGGCCTCTCCATCAAACACAAACCGTGCCTTAATCCTGCATCGATCTAAATTTCAAGCTGACACAAGACATGGACACTGACAAGAAAAACCTAGTTTTCGTTAGTCCTTTCAGTTTCGGACATGATCGAATTAGGGTCAGTTGACGATCACATCAGTCTGTTGAACGAAGGAGGAAGCCAGGAACCGAGACTCATCAGCAGAACAACAATCATATGTACACATTCCGTTTTATGTATAAAGCTTTGGCTGTCATATCAAATTGCTTTTCTTGGTGTTTAGTTTCTAAATATCAAAATAATCCTCTATTGAGTAAACCCGAAACAAGGATTCGTGATACATTAGTCCTGAAAACGATGACTGAATTTCCTTCATTGTGTGAATGCACTAAGTGCGGTACATGGTGCGAAAAGTGGTAACGTTTATGCTTGCAGTGGTAGTGCTTGAAATAGTAGTGTTGTGCTTGGAGTAGAACATTCCACCGCGATGGAGCAACGTACCACTCTAACGATGTGAAGTTTCACTTAGTATGGACACGTAACGAAGAAAAACCGAGGGACGACAGGAAATTTCCTAGAAACAGTGGGATGCCGGAAGCTTGTATCCCTCAAAGGCTTGCACCAAAACCAATTTTGAAAAGGAAAGTACTGAGATGTCTTTGTCTTTCCCATCCCATCCCATTCCAAGAGAAGATACCGATTCCAGGACAAACATGTCCCGACACAACTTTGCAAATCTCCAACATTTGAAAGAGAGAAAAAACAACCACGAACCACAATTTTGCAAATCTCAACACAAACCGTGCTTTAATCCTGCATCGAGCTACCAAGGTCCGTCCGTCGGAGCACGCGCATGGTCTCATCCGATTGAGGGAGATGCCGAATGCGGCAGCTGTCATAACTAATTCACACAAAAGTACGATGCTAGAGCAACTCGAACAACTTTTAGATAAAAGACTCAATCTTTATACCATTTTCCAGATAATTTACATTGTTTCAGAAAGCAAAACATGTTTTGCCAACATTTGCTAGGAAAGTGCTTAATTCCACAGTACTTTCAGAAAGAAGAAAAGCACTTTCGTTTTGACAAAATGCAACCAGTAAAGAAGCAACTTTAGACAAAGATGAAGCACTCTAATGAAACCAGAGGGTTGTCGATGGAGGACTCATTCCCCTGCTGCGCAACGCCACCGTGTGATTCGTCCTCCTTTCTAGTTTTACCTTCATTCCCCAGCTGCGAAACCTCGCCGTTTGGTTCCTCCTCCTTTCTTGTTTTACCCTCATTCCCTTGCTGCACGACGGCGCCGTTTGGTTCCTCCTCCTTTTTAGTTTTGCCTTGTTTCTCAACTCCTCCCACTCCCAGCTGCGAGGAACTGCCACCAGCTGGTCCAGTCACCTTAGACGCCGACGGGCTTCTTCCCCTGCCCCCTCGACCCACTCCACCGGCCGTCCGGGTAGCCGGTGACCTCGACCTGGACGACACCGTATCGCGCCTCACTCCAGTGGGGCCACCACTGCGCTGCTGCAAGGTACTCAGCTGACCCGATTCCCTCCCGCGAAACGAACTCGTTTCAGTTCGATTCCTCTTCCCTATCGAAGGCTCCGATGCCCTCGCCAGAGGTCTGGCTGCTCTTTCCCTCCGGGTGGCGAGGTCGCCGGAGTAAGGACGCTTACTACGCGCCGCCGTTGAAGAAGCGCCATGCACTCTGGGACCCGCATCTCTCTTCTGTTTACTCGTAACCTCGTCGTCTCTGGCGTCAGTTATGGTGGTGGCGGTGGTTGCCGTCGAATATGAGAAGCTCTCGCTGAGGGTGACCCCACAAGGCTCCGAAGCCTGGGAAGGCTCGGCGGGGACGGCGATGTCGACGGCAAGCTCTTTGGGCGGCTGCTCTGGTTGGAGCTTCGGAGGCGAATGGGTGTCTTTCTCTGGGGTTATTTTGGGGATTTGGGGTTTGAAAATTGGGGTTTCGGAGAGAACCTCTTTCACCGACTCTTCTTCGATTTCAACAACCGGCGGCCGTGAGTTCGGCGGTGCAGCGGCTCTGAGTTGGGGTTTTGGGATACGGGTCGGGTGGGGTTCCGCGAGGGAGGATCTGGCGTGGAAGTGGCTGTTGTTGGGGCCATTTGGGTGGTGGTGTGGTGGCGGTGGGTTTTGGGTCTTGGCGGTGCCGAGACAACAACCCATTTTATGATTTTTTTGAAAGCAGAAATTTTCAGCTTACAGAGAGTCCTTTTGTACTAGTGACTCGCTAGTAGTGAGTGAAGTGGAGGTGGGAAATAAAGATTTGAAAATTTAACGGTCCTAAATTGGAGAGAGTCTGAAATCTGAATGAAATTGAAAGGGATTGGGGGTGACAGTGACAGAGAGCTGCAGATAGACTAGGCTACACTCGTAAATATCAAATGCTGGACACAAAAGTAACCAGAAGGATTAACTCTCCTCCTAATCTCTCTCCCCTTCCATCTTCTCCTATTTAAACGGTTGTGATTACGCTACGTTTACGTCTTGTTTTGAATTTTTTATATAGAGAATAAGACAAAAAGAAAAATGTGAGAGAAGGGGATGAAAGGGGATGGTAATAGGAAGGGAGAGAATCATACTAAAAAGTAACCCAACACGCTCACAAGAAATTTTTCAATGCAAGGAGTATAGCAGTCATAATAAAAGTGGTTAGACTTTTTTTTTTTCCTCAAGTTTTCAACCATTTATATTATGATAGTTAATGCACCGTACGTGTTTCTACCACACTAAAAAGTATATCCCCGCTCAGTTATTATATGGTAAATTTAAAATTTTTGTTCAACTACAATATTCCGTAATATTGAGTGTATCAAAATATTAATGTTTAAAATGAATAATGAATGTGATGTAAATA